ATGTTTGCTTAAATATCACCCTCGCAGCTAAGCCATACATGACATTCTGTTCACCGTAAATCCATCTCCCGTACCAAGTCAAGTGCCTTTTACTTCTCATGCACCTACACATCCATTTCCCTTTTGTCACTTCGTAACCACGTTGGAGTGCCATTTCCCCTACATTGGCTTGGTCTCTATACGACTTCCGTCAACTTGTGTTCCCCTCCCCAGCTGTAATGCTTTTGCCATTTTGACACGGTTATGGGAGTAGGGTCATAGAGGTAAAACTATCACATCTTACCAACCATTGGAATTAATTAGAATGGTAAGAAAAGAAAAGTCGATTGTAATACTTAGCTTGCACAATAAATGGAATATTGAGATCTTGTTGATGGTTCATCTATTTAACTTTGACTTCCAATTTAATAGGGGTGGTCTGGATGATTTTACGTCATTGATTAGTTCAAAATCTTAACTTTAGTTAACACATTTGTTAATTTCAGGTCACATTCCCCAATCTGGAAAGACTAACATTGGAGCAGAATGGCATTATGAAAGAGATATGGCATGGACAACTTAAAAGCAGAGGGTGATAAAGTGAAAGGACGCGTTGTTTTTACCCGACTCAAGTATTTGAAACTAAGCAATCTACCAACTCTGACTAGTTTCTGCTTAGCATGCCAAAGATGAAGATCTGCAGGAGATTTATAGTAACCAACTGCAAAAGTGATAACGAGAAGAGATTTTAGCACCCACAGCGAAAACAAGTGATATTGAAAGGATAAAGGTGGAGCGGGACAGACCATCAAGATAAAGATTAGAGTGGTGGGAAGGCGACCTTAAACTACTATGAAAGTGGTTTTGAAGAAAAGGTAAGCATCAATTTAAAAGTTTTTCTTATATTGCTTTGGTTTTTTTATTTTATTTTTTAGCTTCATGCATTTGCTTTTCATGTCACCCGCACTTATTAAACGTTGTGGAACGAGGCGGCTTCAAACATACTAATATTTAAGTAGAATTGTTGCAGAATTAGTTTATTAATTTTGCATAGAGCTTCTAACTATTAATAAAGAAATTTACTATAAAAATGTAGTTTTGGAGCTTCAATGCATAGCTAATTCAGGAATTCTTGCTTTCCCCTTTCAATATGATATTCCTTATGATCAAACAATGTGTAAAATAGTAAAGCATCAATTTAAAAGATTTTCTTCAAACAGCAGTTTGAATAATGTTAAATAATCTATATTATATATAAAATGAAGCCCTAGGAGAGCTTCAAGGTGTGGCAACGTTTTGGCTTCTTTCATTGACATGTGGCTGATTTGAAAAGGATTTTGGGTTAGTTTTGGCGGAGTCAATTGCATATAGGCTTGTGGGCAAGAGAATTTATTTCTTCGGTTTCAAAAGGAGTCTTTTACAATTGTCTTTCATTTATTAGGTAGAAGCAAAAACGATGTTATTGTTTTTTAATTGAAGAATTTTTTTTGTCAAAAATTGAAATAGAGAAAATAAAAAATTCAATCAAATATGACATAATCAACAAAAAAACTTCAAAATTTACAGAAAAATTATTGATAACGCAAGAATCTTACAAACTCAAAAATATTGTGCATAAAGAGTATAAATTATTGAAACAAATAGTAAGAAATGAATAGAAGTATTAAGTATATTGAAGCCAATGACAAAAGAAAGAAAATCAAAATTGAAAAGTAACAATCTCATGTACCTTAAACACAACAGCATAGAAAAGCAAAAACCAATAATATTGCATGTAGAAAAAAGGAAAACAAGATCCAAAATCTTAGATCTGGATTTAATGTCTATTTAGAGCAACAAACTAAGTTGAAACATCACATCGTGAGTTTTCAAATCTCTTACTGGTAGTTTAATAGAAAAAAAAAAAACTATTCCTAGGAAGAAGTAGAGAAAAATTGTTGTAGAAAACGGTGAAAAAAAAAACCTCTAACAAAACATAAATTAAAAGTATCCAATCTAAATTTTGTTTTGAATGTTTTACTAATTTTTTTGCTTGGAAAACGAAAGTGTGTTTTGCAAAACAATAAAGGTCAAAACTAAAAAAAAATAACTAGAAAATAAACCAAAAAAATGTCTAATTTGAAGCGAAAAAAGAGAGAGCAAGAAATAGGGAATACTACTTTTTTTTTTTAAAAAAAAAAACAGAAACAAATGGTAGAATACAACCAAAGAAAGAAAGGAACAAATGGGTTTTTGTTAGGGTTTTTGTCATCATAACTACTATATATGATGTCATTCAGAATCAAAGAATAAATGGGTTTAGTGTGTTTAATACGCATGCTGGAATTCAAAGTGACACAATTTCAAATTAGAAAAAATAATTTGTACAATTTTGTTGTTGTTTAGGTCATTATGTGTGGAAGAGTTTAAAGGGTGAGGATGTTTTAGTTGGATTATGTTGATTTGGCAGGATCCCATAAATAAAGAAAAATTCTTTGTGGACCTATGATTATTGTTAAATTAGAAGAATGTTAGAATGGATAAGATCATTTTTATTATATTTATATCCAAATTCAATCTATATATTTAACAAAAAGTTTACCATTTTTTTTCTTTTGTTCTAAATTTTGTTATAAAAATTTTATAATTTACAGTAAATTATGATCATCTGATTTTTATTGTTTTAAAAAAAAAAATTACAATATTCACTACATGATACAAAAAATCAACTATAAAAACCTAATCCCAAAATATCAAATATTTCTTTTTTTGTCATCCTACTTTGTGTGTTGATAAAAAATCTTTTATACTATAAATGATCATTAAATTTATGAAAAATTAGTGAAAAAAATTTAAAGGAGAATAGTTGACCTTAGCATGGCGTGGCCAAATTGTAGTTAAAGCAAAGCAATTGGCCTATCTTCTGTTTCTATTTTTGGTGCTATTTTAAAATTAGTTACATGTTTGTAGAGAATTGAAATTGTTTATAATTTAATTTGAATTTATTAATTATATCAGTTTTTTTAAAATAAAATAATTTTTTTAAATTTTTATTATTTCAATTATTCTTGTACTACCTAGTGCAATTCATTGGGTTTCATAGATTGGAGACTCTCTGATACTTCTGAGTTGATGGAAATATGGAGTAAGAATCCTCAAGAAATTTTATCCTTCAAATATCTTGAATTCTTAAAAGTTTATGATTGTAGCAGCTTGAGGTGGCTTTTTACACATTCCATGGCTATGAGCCTACCACAACTTCGTGGGTTGAAAGTAAAAAATTGCATTGTGATGGAACATATCATCAAAGAGGAAGGACCAGATGAACAAGTGGCAAATTTCTATCAAGGAAATAAAATACTCGAATTTCCATCTTTGAAATACCTCAAAGTGGTTGGTTGTCCTCAGATGTTTGCATTTACATATGCATTTTCAAGGGAGCAAAGAATAGAAACGATTGATGATATTGATGGAGAAAATACAACGAGGCTTTCCAAGGGAATTGATAATACTGCCTTTTTCAATAATACGGTTAGTATATTTTATTTTTGCTTTTATTTTAATAAATTTGAAAAGGATTTTATTTTGAGAAATTAATTTTCATGGTGGTTAATTTTTTTAAATTATTTGTTAAGACCACTCAAATAAATGGTTTTTCCTTTTCTAGAGTTCTCTTTTGTTTAATCTTAATGATCTCAGGCTTTTAACCCACTCAAATATACTCAATAACGTACAAAATCGCTACATAAAAGTTATGGTTATGAACATGTAAATTAACAAATTAGTCAAAATATTTTTGTCTAATATTAAAACTTAGACATATTTATATATGAAAATACTTAATATCCAAAGGAAAATTCAAAATAAACTGTTTCAATGTAAAGGGAAAATTACATTGTCATTTAACCAAATTTACATTA